GCTGTTTGCTGATTTATACATAAATTACACATTAAACTGGAAGGTGATCGTCAAGGAGAAAAAATTAAAGGAAAATAACAAGTGTGAATTAGTAAGGAAAATGAATGACCTTGGTGCTGAGGTACACATAATACACGTTGATAACATAATGTTTGTGGCAACGAAGAAGTAAGAGAGAGAGAGAGAGAGAGAGAGAGAGAGAGAGAGAGGAGAGAGAGAGAGAGAGAGAGAGAGAGAGAGAGAGAGAGAGAGAGAGAGAGAGAGAGAGAGAGAGAATATTTCTTTCCTATAATCCTCAGCAGAAAACAGGTTTTGTTTCTAAGGCGAATGAATGTTTGAAAACTTCCTATAACATTATGAACATTTCTTAAGTCTTCGGCTCATTTAAATGTTTTCATTTATTTAACGTAAATATGGAAATTGTGGTACATTAACGGACATGTACCATCAGTATTTTTATAATTTTCCTTCATTAAATAGTAATATTATTATATTCCTGGGAAGCACTAAACCGGTAAGGGTTATAAAACGCCTGTAGAATGAAAAGCAGATCTACTTCCTCAGATCAGGAGCACTTCACTAATATCAAAGTACTCTCTGGAATGTAACTTATTACAAATCATTAATATATTTAAACATTTTTGATGTGTATTTTGGATTTTGTTAGAGACATTAATGTAGATAATTGTAGCCTTCTTTAATAACCTTCCGTCCACACAATGGCCTTCATCAAGCCACAGTCTGTAAAACATAGTCAGCATATATATAAATATATATATATATATATATATATATATATATATATATATATATATATATATATATATATATATATATATATATATATATATATATATGCTTAACAATTCGCAAACAGGCGAAATTATTTACAAACATTGTCTGTACGTCCACAGCAGGACTCGAACCAGCTAACTCTATCAGAGTCCACATTACTTTACCACGGTGCTAGACCCAGAGAATTCGGAGTGTGGAAATTAGGAGAAGGTGTGGAGTTAATGAAAGTATTAGTCAGAGATCTGAAGAGGGGTTGTTGAGGTGGTTTGGTCATTTAGAGAGAATGGATCAAAGTAGAATGACATGGAGAGCGTGTAAATCTGTAGGGAAGGAAGGCGGGATAGAGGTCGTCCTGGAACATGTTTGAGGGAGGGGGTAAAGAAGGTTTTCGTGGGCGAGAGGCTTGGACTTCCAGCAAGCGTGTATGAGCGTGTTAGGAGTGAATGGAGACGAATTGTTTTTGGGGCCTGACGAGTTGTTGGAGAGTTAGGAGGGTAATATTTATAGGAGGAATTCAGCGAAACCGGTTATTTTTATATAGCCGGATTGAGTACTGGAAATGGGCAGTACAGTACGTGCACTTTAAAGGAGGGGTTTGGGATACTGTTGTATCTGGGCGCCTCTGCAAAGACAGTGATTATGTATGAGTGAAGTGTTGAACGATGATGAAAGTATTTACTTTTTGGGGATTTTCTATCTTTTTGGATCACCCTGCCTCGATAAGAGTATGGGCTAAGAGCCCATACTTATCTTGGGTTAGACTGGCTCCGTGGTAAAGTGCTGTGGACTTTGATACAGAGTTAGCAGGTTCTAGTCCTGCTGTGGACGTAGAGACAATATTTGTCAATAATTTCGTCTGTTTGCGAATTGTTAAGCATTTCAAATCTCTTTCGTTGTCCACTGCATGTGGCAGGATTCGATGAAATAGCTTTCAAAACGAGCTTGGTGCCCGGGGGTATGGGGTAACATCGCTTAGCTTCGGCTAAGCGCCCATACTTATCTTGGATCTAGCTCCCTGGTAAAGTATTGTGGACTCTGATACAGAGTTAACAGGTTCGAGTCCTGCTGTAGACGTAGAGACAATGTTTACCATATATATATATATATATATAAATATATATATATATATATATATATATAATATATATATATATATATTTATATATGTGTTGCCGAATATATAAAACTGGTCAATTAGCAAGAACTCATTTAAAATTAAGTCCTTTCTAAAATTTTCTCTTATACGTTTAAAGATATATCTTTTTCATTAATGTTAATGTAAAAATTTTAAATTTTGCTTCAAAAGAATCTTAGAAAACTTACCTAACCTTATTATAACAAGAACAATTTATTTTAGCCTAACCCAACTAAATATATTTTAGATTTGTTTACAATAATTTAATGCTAAACAAACACAGTGAAACATATTTTTTTTCGTTAGGTTCAGAATGATTTTGGCGAAATTATTCCATACACAAATTTTCGCTTGTCCTATATGGCAAGATGAGTGTTGCTATTTAAGCCAAGATCGCATGTTCTGCCTATTCGGCACGACATATATATATATATATATATATATATATATATATATATATATATATATATATATATATATATATAATATATATATATATATATATATATATATATATATACGTATATATATGTATATATATATATATGTATATATATATATATATATATATATATATATACATATATATATATATATATATATATATATTATATATTATATATATATATATATATTCTTCTTTTTCTTTTTAGTAAGCTCTACGGGAAAAGGGGTTACTAGCCCATTGTTCCCAGCATTTTAGTTGACTTTTACAACACGTATGGCTTACCGAGGAAAGATTCTTATTCCACTTCCCCATGGATATGAAATTGAAAAGCATTGAGAACAAGAACTATTAAGATAAAAATCAAAGAAAACTCAGATGAGTGTGTATTCATAAACGTATGCATGTATGTGAAGTGTGACTTAAGTGTAAGTAGAAGTAGCAAGACGTACCTGAAATCTTGCATGTTTATGAGACAGAAAAAAAAGAACACCAGCAATCCTACCATCATGCAAAACAAATACAGGCTTCCTTTTTACACTCACTTGGTAGGACGGTAGTACGTCTTCTAATGGTTGATGTCTACCAACCTACTACCTAGCTGGTATAGTGGTACCAGCACTCTTATGTGGGTGTGAAGCTTGGGTTGTAAATGCTGCAGCGAGGAGGCGGCTAGAGGCAGTGGAGTTTTCCTGTCTAAGGGCAATGTGTGGTGTAAATATTATGCAGAGAATTCGGAGTGTGGAAATTAGGAGAAGGTGTGGAGTTAATTAAAGTATTAGTCAGAGGGCTGAAGAGGAGTTGTTGAGGTGGTTTGGTCATTTAGGGAGAATGGATCAAAGTAGAATGACGTGGAGAGCGAATAAATCTGTAGGGGAAGGAAGGCGGGATAGAGGTCGTCCTGGAACAGGTTGGAGGGAGGGGGTAAAGGAGATTTTGTGGGCGAGGGGCTTGGACTTCCAGCATGCGTGTATGAGCGTGTTAGGAGTGAATGGAGACGAATGGCATTTTGGACCTGACGAGCTGTTGGAGTGTGAGCAGGGTAATATTTATTGGAGGGATTCAGAGAAACCAGTTATTTTTATATAGCCGGACTTGAGTACTGGAAATGGGCAGTACAATGCGTGCACTTTAAAGGAGGGGTTTGGGATACTGTTGTATCTGGGCGCCTCTGCAAAGACAGTGATTATATATGAGTGAAGTGTTGAATGATGATGAAAGTATTTACTTTTTGGGGATTTTCTATCTTTTTGGATCACCCTGCCTCGATAAGAGACGGCCGGCTTAATGAATATGTATATACATACATACATATATATATATATATTATATATATATATATATATATATATATATATAATATATATATATATATATATATATATATATATATATATATATATATCAACAAACCAAGGCAGGGTGGCCCAAAAAGAAAAACTAAATTTCTCTTTTTAAATTTAGTAATTTATACAGAAGGGGTTACTAGCCCCTTGATCCCGGCATTTTAGTCGCCTCTTACAACACGCATGGCTTACGGAGGAAGAATTCTGTTCCACTTCCCCATGGAGTTAAGAGGAAATAAACAAGAACAAGAACTAGAAAGAAAATAGCAGAAAACCCAGAGGGGTGTGTATATACATGCTTGTACATGTATGTGTAGTGTGACCTAAGTGTAAGTAGAAGTAGCAAGACTTACCTGAAATCTTGCATGTTTATGAGACAGAAAAAAGGACACCAGCAATCCTACCATTATATAAAATAATTACAGGCTTTCGTTTTACACTCACTTGGCAGGACGGCAGTACCTCCCTAGGCGGTTACTGTTTACCAACCTACTACCATATATATATATATATATATATAATATATATATATATATATATATATATGTCGTGCCGAATATGTAAAACTGGTCAATTAGCAAGAACTCATTTAAAATTAATTCCTTTCTGAAATTTTCTCTTACACGTTTAAAGATATATTTTTTTCATTAATGTTAATGTAAAAATTTATAATTTTGCACCAAAAGAATCTTAGAAAACTTACCTAACCTTATTATAACAAGAACAATTTATTTTAGCCTAACCCAACTAAATATATTTTAGATTTGTTTACAATAATTTAATACTAAACAAACACAGTGAAATATATTTTTTTCGTTAGGTTCAGAATCATTTTGGCGAAATTATTGCATACACAAATTTTCACTTGTCCTATATGGCAAGATGAGCGTTGCTATTTAAGCCAAGATCGCAAGTTCTGTCTATTCGGCACGACATATATATATATATATATAAATATATGTATGTATATGTATAATATACATATATATCATATTTTTTTTAGTTGTATCATCAGCTCTTCAACTAAAATTAACACGATTTTGTTAAAAAAAATTAATCTAGAGTAAAAGGCTTCTGTTAAGAATCTTTGATATTTCGCAATATTTTCACGTTTATGCACGTGCGCACATATTCATGATTATTCATATTTATTATAAAAATATTTATAATTTTTTCTCTGGATATTGAAACGACCACAGCATCTTACCTCTGTTACCACACTGTCCCCCACCTTGCCCTCACCTCCCCCACCATGAAGCACTTGTCCGGTCCACCTCCA